GTGCCATCACTTGCCACTTATTTTGGGTTTAGAAATTGATCTAGCAGAAAGATCTATAATCTAGTGGCAAGTTTATAAACTGCAATATTAAGAATGCGAACTAGTAACACTTTTTGGGTCCACTTTAGCAGCATTAACCAACTACTTCATCTATCCCCAATGGCAAAAATCTAGGGCAATGTGATCCGGTGATATTGTAGCAAAGGACCAAGTCAGCGATGGTCGAAATGCGTATTCAGAAAATTCCCAATATTATTTGAAAAATGAGGCCACATCGGGAGAAATACCCCAAAGAGCTTTGTCCCATATCGTAAAAGATATTCTAAGGAAAAGAAACAACCATCATTAAAGCGACTATACAAAACCAAATGAGTGAGAAACTGATCAGTTAGAATGCCGCCCCCTATTTTAATATTAAACTGACATTAATAATTGAGGTTCCTGAGTAGCATCAAAATTTTCCCATGACATGGAAAGTTGTGGCGATTCCTTCTCGAATAAACTGAGCGCCGTCCATCAATAAAATGAATTTAATGATTCGTTTGTTTCCATCATTATACAGAGTTCATACTTTCATCAAGCAACATCGTGCTACGCATCGCGCTCTGCAGAGCTACAGTGTTGAAAGTTAAAGTGAAAGCTGTTACAAGGGTTTACCATTCTTGGTTTGCCTAAAGTTCCTGTATTACGCTGCTATTAGTGTGCTTTTCAGCACCTCTCTACAGCTAGTGCTGAAACTTATGAAGTTTTTTTTGTACTGTGTGTGTTGCAGGACATGGACGAGTCCAAAGCAGTCCTCGCAGAGGAGGTGCTGAGGCGCTTTGAGGCGCTCGAGGCCAAACTCGAGACGACGATGACGGAAGTAGCATTTTGGAGAGATTGGGCGGTGAAAGCGGAAACGCTGCTATCCGCCAAGAACTCCAAAGTGCAGGATGTGGCTGCGGAGGAGAAAATGGAGGAGAGCGCAGCCTCCTCCAGTGACAGTGACTCAGTTGAGGGACCCGCTGAGGCGGCAGCTCCCTCAATTGCCTCCGCGGAGGGCAGGGGCCCGGTGACGGACTCCTCAGATAGCGAGGGCTATCAAAGCTCAAATCGCCGTCGATGGAGGAAGCGAGCCAGACCTGTGTCCTCTAGCGAGGACAATACTAAGGCCCCAATTTTGTCCACAGATCCGGGACAAAGGAGGGACCCTCGCAGAGGAGCCGAGCCAAGGACCAGCCAGCCGGATGATAGTAGCAACAACATTAAGAAAAAGCAGGCCACCCCTGCCGCCCAGCAGCAAAGTGAAAGGAGGACAAAAGTGCCTCCAATTGTCCTTCGCGAGAAGGACAAATACGACGAAATAACGAAAAGACTGATGACAAAGAAAATTTATTACGGATGCGGAATGACCACCAAGGAGGGAGTCAGAACACACCCTCCAACCGCCGAAGACTACAGGCAAATGATTAGGGTACTGGATACCTATAAATACCAGTACCAC